ACATTAGATGGAAGTCAAAAAAGGTGCTATGAAATCTTAAGTAAGAAAGGGTTATTTATTTATTTATTTATTTATTTATTTTTTAATCCTCACCCGAGGACATTTTTCCATTTTTTGTTCAGGTAGAGTGGGAGGGAGAGAGAGGAACAGAGAGAGAGAAACATCGACGTGAAGGGACACATCGAGTGGTTGCCACCCACACAACCGACCAGGGCCGGGGACAAACTGCAACCGAGGTACGTGCCCCTAGCGGGAACCGAACCCAGGTCTCTCAGGACCGCAGGCCGACGCTCTAACCGCTGAGCCAAACTGGCCAGGGCAAGAAAGGGTTTTTTAGATGGCAGCTTCTTCCACTCTTGCTTCCTAGGTAATCTGGTCCACAGTGTAGCACATGGGAATCCCATCCAGGCTCAGGTCAGCCCCATTTTCTATTGGCTGTGTGACTTTGGACAAAGTGCTCAACCTCTCTGAGCTGCAATTTCTCAATTGCAAAATAAGGATAATAATACCTACCCTGTAGTGTCGATGAACAGATTACATATGATAAAGTATGGAACATGTGCGTATGTTAGTAACATAGAGACCCCCGTATGCATATGAGTCCAACAAATGATGACTTTAATTATCATCTTACATATGTCAGCCTTTATGATCATATCCTTGGGAGCCCAACCAAAAAGAGACAGTACAGTCTAACGGGGGTGATAGACAGAGTCCCCAATCCCTACTGAAGACTAAACCATGGTAATCCCAAGGTCAGTCCAATAGGTACAAGGCAATTTAGCTGGGTTGATAAGAACCCTCAGCTTTGACCAGCCCTAGTGTTCCAGAGAAGGAGCAACAAAGCAGGATGTTTATCTGTGTGGTATCGAAACCATCTCATTCCGTAAAAGAAAAAAGAAAAAAAAAGAAGAAGAAAGCATGGAATCTTGGCCTGGCTGCTGGTCCCTGGTGACAAGGGCCATGGGGCTACAAACTAACTGCATGCCACCACCCCCATTTCTTTTCAAACTACTTTTTCTGATTATGAAACTACTATAGAATCATGGCAAAAATATAAGAACATAAAATACAAAGGTAAAGACTGCCTACGTTCCTGCCAACCAGAAACGATTCCTGTTAATAGTTTCATGCATAAGGCTTCAGGTTTTTTCTTTACACACCCATGCAGCCACACACATTTCACTATTTTTAAAAAATGAGATCATACCATATACACTTTATCGCCACTACCTGTTCACTCAATATATACATTCCTGTGTGGGTTAACATACTCAATGTACACATTTCTGTGTGTCGCCATCATTTTTAATGGCTGCACAGGACTCCATCCAATGCACGCATCACCCCGCAACCAATAGGCACTTAGGCTGTTTCCAGCATTTTCCTATAATAAACAACACTGTACTGAGTATTCTCCCGTAAATACCTTTACACAATTGTCCAACTATTTCCTCAGAAGTGGCATTGATGGGTTAATAAGTGTATAATTCCTAAATGCCTTAAGAAACAAAAACAGCTGGCCTTGCTGAGATGGGAGGGTAAGAAAGGTATTTTAGTGATAGAAAAACACTGTCTTTTATGCCCAGGCAAACAAAACAATCTTCTTTCTGTTGGCCCACTCCCCTGCCTGTCTCTCCCTCACCTACCAGAAAGTGTGTCTATCTCACTGATAAGAACAACTACATTCCCTTGTGCAAAATTCAAGGTCACACAGAGAGTGTCTATGTGACAGGACGTAGGGTTTCATCTGGAAATGCAAAGTGAAGGGTGGGCAGAAAGTGGCTTACAAAAGCAACACGCCCTCCTGAATGGCTCCCAGGGGCCTGCCCCTGGCCTCCTGGTGTCCGGGCAGGCAGAAGGCTCTGTGAACTCTACTGGGGACCCATTGTGCAGGGGACACTGTCGTCACAGGGCACACTGTAGGAAAGAGAAAACTCCCACACCCCCTCCTGAACCCCAAGGAACTAACAGGATGAAAATCACAAATAAACCCAGATACACTCAAGCAGCCCAAACACACACACACACAACCAATGTCAGCGAAAGAGACACTCAGGAAGGCAGCCACTGGGCCAAGAGACATTCTGAAGAAATAAAATCTTCAAATGCTGAAGTAGGTGCAGTGGAAATAAGCAGACAGAGAGGGCTCTCAGCCCCGCCACTGGCTGGCAGGGTGACCTTGGGCAAGTCCCAGGGCCGTTTGTGACCAGGTTACTGAGAAACTCTAAGCTTAGTCATAGGAACACAGTTAGCTTTGGTTTTTGGTATTTTGAGTTTTCTTCCCTTGCAATAGTATTTTAATTTCTACTTTCATGATCTGTAATTTTTTTTTTAATCTGCCATTTAGTGATTGTCTGCCATCTCTAAACACCATTCTCAAAGCCTTCATTAGTTCATGCTCGGCAGTCCTGACCACACCCTCAGAAGGTACATGTTGTTCTTATGTTAGACTCTCCATGTGCTGGAGGTCACACTCATCAGCAGGACAGAGACGACTGCGGGCTTCGCCGCCCAGCACAGCAGCGGTCCTCAGCCCCACCCACGGCTGGGTGAGCGCATGCGCACACGGACGAGTAAATGCAGCTGTAGGTGCCTTTCGAAACCCATGACGTTTTCACTACGTAAGACTCTCCTACACGTCTTTTTAATGTTATCCCAGAATCTTTTTTGAAAATCAGACATATAAATAAATAAGTAAATAAATAAACACAAGAGATGAGTAAGACTAATGTTCCAACTGTAGGCAGCCTGAGAGCCACGGGCGCGGCAGGCTCCCCTGACCCAGCAAGCACAGGGCGACACAGCCCAGCAGGGGCCTCCGGGGCTGGCCCACGGCTTGAGCTGTCTAAAGTTCTGATGGGTTGGTGTTGAATATGTAGGGTGTAACTCCTGGAAATACATAACAACATCCTAGGACGAAGGTTTGCTTATTTGTACAGAATTAGCATAGTGGCCTCTCTTCTCTCTCTGTCTCTCTCTGTCTCCCCCCCCACACACACACACACCTGCACAGAGAAAACAAACCATGAAACAAGACAGGCAAACAAGGTCCAGCTGTGAGACTGTAAGTTGCTTCATTTCTGAACAGCCTGGGTCCTCTCCCAGGGCCCATGGAGGTGAGAGCGCCGCCCAGCTCACAGGACTGGGTGAGGGTTAAGCGAAGTAGTGTAGGCAGAGTGCTTCGCCCAACACCAGTGGGTGATAGGACCATAATAAATGGTAGTTTTTAAAAAGAGTTGGTTTGCCCTGGCCAGTTTGGCTCTGCAGTTAGCGTGTCGGCCCGCAGAGCAGAGAGTCCTGGGTTCATTTCCCACTAAGGGCACGTGCCTTGGTTGTGGTTTGTTTCTCTCTCTCTTCCTCCCTCTCTATCTGAAAATAAATGCAAAAAAAAAAAAAGTCCTCAGATGAGGATTAAAAAAAAAAATGTTGGTTTGCTGTCACTTCAGGGCAGAAGAATGGCACCAAGGGCCACAGTCCAATAAACTGATCAATGAAAATATTATCAGAGTATCGTTTGAACACATATTAGTAAGATAGAAAGGGAGGAATCATATATTGCCTGTCACATGCTACATGTGTGTGTATGTATATATCTGTGTGTATATATATGTATATACATGTATAAAATATGCACTTGCTAATTCAGATTTGGGAAGTCAAGAAGCAAATGTCAACATTCTTACCAGCATGGTCAACAGAATGTGATCAATGTCTCCCCACTGAACTTGCTATGAGCTGGCAGCCTTGACACCATGCAAGCTGCTCTATCAACACTCTTCTCCCATCCTGCCAGCCCCACCCCCTGGCTCTTTAGAGCATCGGCTGTATCCTAGCCCTGGTGGTAGGAACTCAGAACTGGGTGGGATAAAGCCCGAAGCCCCACAGTGCTCCGCCCCAGGCTGCTCCTCCTGATGACTGGGCTACTCCCCATTGGTATAGACAGCCAATGTTCTTTCATTCAGGGGTTCACTTGGGGCACAGTAAACTCAGGTGGGAACAGGACACTGCACCGTCACAGTGGAAGAACCTGACACAGATACGAGATGAAACAAGTGATGGCTGGGGAAGCGTTTTAGGAAACTACCTGCTAATCTTGATTACTGGTCTTTGAAGATGCCAGGAAGACCCTGAGAAGTTATGTAATTCAGAGAAGCAATTTTTTAAAAGTAAAAACTAGGGAGAAGGAGAAAGCTTTAGAAACAGTAAGGTCAAGCAATGTTTAAAATGTCTATTAACAAACATTCTAAAACAGAGGACCCAACTGAGGAATAATTTCGAATAATAAGCTATCATCACAGAGAAAGTAACCAGGCTTCAAAGACAGTGAAGGGTTGCTTCAGGACTGCAGACTTAGAAACACGGACAAGCCTACACTTTCCAGGGTGCCCAGAGCGACAGACACATCCTGACTGTGGCCGAACGTGTCAGCAAACAGCCTCAGCCAAGCTGTCAGGAGAAAGGAAACCCAAGCCCTGGGCATATACGCATTTGATAGACATCTGACCGTGCGACCCACACTCCCAGGCCAGTTTCCTGAAGCCACAGACCATGAGCTAAACTGAAACTGATAGAAAAAATCCCAAGAAACACATAGTTTTTATGAGTTCCAGTTGTTAAGACTGTTTTGTAACCTTACATGGTAAAAACAATAAATACAAAACAAGAAACAAAAGCAATTGCGGACTAAAGATATGGCCATAACAGCCTAGGACACGACTAAAGCTTAATCATATTAGCAACTTCAACAAAGGAGGCAGCTCTGCCCACAGTGGCCGTGGAGTCACCGCTGTTTGAGTTTGAATCCTGGCCTTGTCACTTACGAACTGTGCAAACTTGGACAAGTTTCTAAGACTCTCTTTAGCTTTCACAACTGTACCAGGGGGATACACCCACCTCACTTGAGGACCAAATAAAAGACAATGTAAACGGCCGTGCTTTGTAGCGGGGCACGAACCCATCACAGAGGCGCGAGGTCTGCTGAAGCAGGGAGCCAGTACCTGAGGTGCCGCACGCGTGCCTTCCCGTGGGGGGCTCTCTACGGGGGCTGCTGCGCCTGTAGATAACATGGGGTTTGTTCTGCTCATCTTCATCTTCTGCTTCATCAATGGACAGCAGTGGTTCGATAAAATAATCCCCATCATGGGACCGGAATGTGCCCAGCTGCAAAGGAAGAGATGAGAGAGGATTTAATGAACAACGAGACATTTCAAAGTGGAGATGGTGCCATCTTACCCAATTCCTTTGTCACGAGGCTGCTTAAACCAGAAATGCTGCTGACACGTTTGGAGAAGCAGTTTACCTCCCTTCTCTGCCATCCCGGCACCTTCTCCTGGAGCTGACTTTACTTAACTGCACTGGCTCTCCAAGTCAGTCTCTAAGGAATACTCCCTTGGCGCCCACGTTCCGATCACATGTTCCCTCCTACAGACTGTTGAAAGAGCGTTTCTGGGTGAAGACAGCCTGGAATTTAGGGAGCACTGTGAGCTCCCAGGGAAAAGCTGACCTGTGGAAGCCCTATCATGAATTCAAGTTCAGGAAGCATATGGTGACCATGAGGCACTCAAGGTGGTGCCACCTGTGACACCAGCACATGCGTCTCCCCACCCCTTCCCTTTGCAACAGGAAGCGATTCAGCGCAAGATTTTGGAGGCGGGCTGGCCTAGGTTCCAGGCCCAGCACAGCTGCTCACCCACCCATCTTGGGCAATTTCCTTAAATGCTGGCCTTCAGCTTCCTAGTTCATCAAATTAGGGATAAAAATACTTCCTGTAAAGGATTATCCTGCAGGTTACGCGAGATAATGCATTTAAAGTGCTTAGCAAAGTGACACATTGTAAGGGCTTAGAACACATTAGTGGCTTTTGGTGTTGTGGTGTCTATCCGCCTCTAACCACCAGGATATAACTTGTGTTTGCCAGTCATTCTAAGCACCTTGAAAGAGGTAACTCTCCTTCCCTTCCCACATATCCACAAATTTTGCAAATGATGAATGAGGCCTCAAGGTTGAACCAACCAACAGAACATTACAAGAGCACTAAGAGGTTCCCCATGCCATGCGGTGTGAGACAGCAAGCCCTTCTCACATCCTCCATCGGTCCTTTTCCTGCACTGGGAAAAAAGGAGAAGGAGAAGGAGGGAGGAGGAGAAGGAGGAGGAAGAGGGGGAGAGTAAGAAGAAGAAGAAGGAGGAGGAGGAGAAGAAGAAAAAGGAAAAGTAGAGACTTTTAACCTTCCCCTGGACACAAGGGAAATGACTATCCATAAAGGTCATTAGCATTATCCAGAATTTGTTAGAAACTCAAATAATCACACCCTACCCCAAATCTGACCTACTGAATCAAAATCTCAGGGTAGGACCCAGGAATTGGGATTTTGATGAGCACTCCATGCTATTCTCAAGCAGTATCAAGTGTGTAAAGCATTAGGCCCAGACACAGGTTCCCAAACCCAACTAAGCTTCAAAATTGTCTGGCATGTTTTTAAAAAATTCCGATTTGGGGCATTATCCCTTATCTGCAAATTTGGAATTTCTAGGGAGTAAGGTCTAGAATCTAAATATTTTAAAAAGTTCTCCACACGATTAATGAACCACTGGGGACAGCTCTGGCGTGGACAGACGAAGCAACAGAGCAGCCGGTTTCCGAAGTGATTTAACAAACGTATTCTCACCAGGCCGTTCCTGTTTTCAGTACACAGCTCTGGTGTTCTCTGAACACAGTGCTGGGCACACACTACAATGTGGAACACCTACTAGAGACAGGCCAATGCTGGGAAAACCTGGCAGCTCATCTGGTGAGGATCTGGCACTCCGACAAAAAGGGAAACCGAGGCCGAGGGAGGAAGTGACTTGTTCACAGTTCCCCTTAGGTGGTACAGAGCAGCTGAACAGAGCCAGTGCTGAATCTAGAACTCAGGTGTCCTGACTTTAGTCCAGTGCCTTTTTATTTTATTTATTATTATTGTTTTAATCCTCATCCAAAGATATGTTTTTATTGATCTTCAGAGAGAGGGGAAGGGAGAGAAAAAGAGAGAGAGAGAAATATTGATGTGAGAGAAACACTGATCAATTGTCTCCTGTATGCACCCAACTAGGGATGGAACCTGAAACCTAGGTATGTGCCCTGATTAGGACCTGAACCCGCAACCTTTTGGTGCACAAGATGATGCTCCAACCAACTGAACCACCCAGCCAGGGCAGTGCAGTGCCTTTTTAAAGGAACTTCTCATTAAGAACATAGATTCAGTCTCTGAATGATTAAGATCATGGGTCAGAAAGACTGGGTGGGAACCTAGCTCTGTCCTTCGAAGCTGCAAGACCTCGAGCAAGTCTCCAACTCTCCAAGCCTCAATGTCCCAATCTGTAAAAGGAGTTGAGGAGTGGGTTGTTGTGAGATTTTGTAGGATGTGATGCACATGTAAAGTGCTTATTACAGGTCAAGGCATATAATAAGAGTTCAATAAATGGTATCTATATGGTGCCAAATTAACTGTGTTATTGATTTACAAATAATTGCTTGAACTAAGAGTAACCCTTTCTTGGTCACGATGAACACCTATTCAACATAGGGACTATGGACCTACAATATATAAGGCTCCAATACAAGACCGAAATGAACTGATGCTGATCCTCGTGCCCAGGAGAACGAGACAGAACACACCATACCAAGAACTATAATACAAGGAAGAGCCTACCAGAACCATAAGAGAAACACAGACACGTCCGTGAAGGTGAGACGGGGATGGCAGCAGTCTACAGGACCAGGAAGAGGTTTCCTGGCAAAGATAGCTAAGTCACACTTCAGAAGAAGGGCATGGTTTCAGCACGTGAAGCTGGGTGTGATCAACACATAAATCCAAAGGCCCAAAGGCAATGAAGTAGGATTAGGATGGGACAGAAATTCAGAGAAAGAAGCAAAAACCATTTGCCTGAAATACAGGACTTGTGCAGGAACGCTGAGAGATGCCCCTGGACATATGGACCTGAAAGGGGTGAGCAGGTTTACTGGAAATGGTCTGAAGTACCGGGCGGAGGTGACAGTGGTTCACTAGGTAGGGTGGAGCTGTGCAGAGCCAGTGAGCAGGGTAGTGATGTCATCTTGCACCGTCATCATTAATCTGTTAGTGGCAGAGATCAGAGAGAAAAGACTGGAGGAAAAGCCAGATAAAAATATCCGACATCAGTCCTGACAAGAATGAGAGAGAAGTAAAAGGGCTAGGATTAGGGTAGGGGTGCTCAGTAAAAGTAACACAGCTGAGATGGAATTCAGGGAGACTGATCCTTTACCAGTGAGGTGTATGTGTGGCTGGTGATGGGGCAAGGGGGAAGAGCAGGTGCACTCGGAGGGCCACTAGGAACATCACAATTCTACGGCTACAAAAGTGGTAAGGGGACGTCTTGGGGGAAAAGAAAAATTCCAGAAGGAAGACAATGCGGGAGGGTTTAGGGGACAGATTAAGCACTGAAATGTGCATATATTTAACATGTATGTTAGAACTGCTTCCCTCCTCCAGAAGGGGCAGATTGCAAATTAAATGCAATATAAATTGGGTTATCAGGGTCTAGGCATCGTTTCTGAAGTCCTGGCCCTCAGTTCCCCAAGAGTTACCATTTGCAGTTCCACGTGCGAGTTACTACCTAAAGTTACCAATAGAAATTAAGGTCCTGCGCAGCAAAATATTCATACAACTGCTGGGGCCACTCAGCGGGGTGTGGAGGCGGAGAGGGGGAGGAGTAAGGGCTGTTTACAAACTTGACGTACAGACGCAGCCCTATCCGTTAGGTTCCGAAATTGGGGGTTAGTCTTGGGATCTGCAAGCGTGTTGATGCCCTTGGTTCCGGCACCTGACACATGCCTACATCGACCCTAACCTTTAGAAGAACAGGATTCCTAGGATCCAGCCCTACCCAGGTCTTGTGGCAGCGATGATTCTCCGCAGCACCCCCTCCGCCTTCGCCAAACTGCCGTCTCCGCCCACCCCCAAAGAATCTCAACGCCTCGCCGCGGCTCTTTGCTGGGGGCTAAATGGGCTCATCCTCATGCCGGCACCCCAAAGGGCTAAATCTCCCCCATCCCAGCCTTCAGGCTTGCCTAGCTACCCACCGAAGAGCGGCGGAGACGGATGCGACATCCAAACTGGGCTCCCTGGACCTATGAACAGCAGCGCGTGGATGGGGCAGCCGAGCACCCCGGGTAAGTACCCACGCTCCCACTTTTAAAAGGTGACAGTGGGGAGTGTGGGTGCCTAGGGAAAGACTAACGTATCACCGGGGCGCCGTACGCTGTGCGAGCTTGACCCGGGAAATTTTCTGCGACATACGCGCGTGGCAGCAACGCACGTCGCTTGAGAAAGTCAAGGACCATCACTCGGGCCAGAATTTTACTGCGGATCCTCAGATGTCACGGGGGGAGGGGGCGGATGCCGTGTAGGAACTCCTGGAGGGCAAGTTGGGGCTAGGGGTGGTAGGCGGGGGATCAGGGGATCAGCGAGGATCCCCGCTACCTCTGTATTTTGCTGCGCAGAGAGGTGGCCGCCCCGCCCTCTCGCCCTCCCTCTCCAGGGAAATTTGCGCCGCAGGCTCCCTCTTCCGATTCTCAGGAAACTCCAATGGGTTATAGAAGCCCCAGAAAAACTGAAATCTCGTCGGGTCTGTCTCTCCAGGCTCTCTCGCAATATTTCTGCTTTCGGTGCCACCCCACCAGCAGGGTGCAGAGTCGGACTGCGCCGCACCCCACTACCAGTTTCCACCCGAATTCAAAGTGTCCGGGGCAGGCTCCGCCCTCTTCCCCGCCCCCGGGGCGCTGGGCCCTCCCTTCCGTTCCGGGACGGGACCTGTTCCCTGTCAATCCTGTTTAGCCTCAGGGTTCCTGGCGCATGAAAAAAGGCCATGAGAGAACATGGGGACTCTAGATTACGCCTCCCCTCCACGACACACGGAAGGAACTCCCCGGACCCAAGCCTGGGGATCCTCAGCCCACACCCCCAACTTAAGACGCACCAATAAGGAGTCGGGCCCTCCCTTACACTCAGCTGCTCCCGGGCGGCCGAGTTAGGAAATCTTCACCCAGCGTTAGGCAAAGCGCAGCTGCGCAGGGTTAGGACCCTAGAAAGCTCCAAAAATCCAGAACCCCGTGGGGGCGGACGCGTGCTCTCCTCTCCAGTGTAAGCGCACGCTCTGGGCTAGCCACCCAAAGCGCAGGACGCGAATGAGCTTCCAGCTCATACTTAAGGCTAAAGCGGAGACTCGCCATAGTGAGGGTCTTAGGCTAGAGAGCAATTAAGTCTTCAGAAGCGGGTGAGGGGAGAGGAGGGGCGCGCGCCCACTCACCATTCCTGAGCAGAGGCTGATGACCGCCGTGTGCTCGGACTTGGTATTGACATGGCCTTTGTAGAAACAGTGCTTGAGTTCTGCCTCCTCCTCCGAATAAAACTTTGTCTGGTTCTCCTCGGGCTCCCCGAGGAGGGTGACAGTGAACAGTGGAGCGATAAATCCGGCATCGGCGGTGAGATTAAATAGAAACTGCTGGCCAAAGGCGGAGAGGCGGTAATGCGCCTGGGAGGAGGTAGAAGAGGAAGAGGAGGAGGCGAAGGCAGGCCAGGGGTCAGAGGCAGAGTTAATGCTCCGTCGCCTTCTTTTGAAGTGCACGTTCGTGGGAAAGGGTTCTCCGAGAGCGTTCACTCGGATGGGAGACGCGATTTCGTATTCGCTCAAGGTCTCTAATAATTTCACTGCAGAAAAAAAGCAGAGACACATAAAGCAGTAATTCACTTTTACGCAAGTTTTAAATTAAAAAAAAGGTGAGGGCTTTATCCTGAGTTGTCTTCCAGCGAGTTTTCTTTCCCTCATTCGAATCAACCCCCTTCACCGTCAGCCAGTGGACAAATATTTGCTGAGCACCTACTGTGTGCTCGGAAGGGCCAGAAAATGTGCGAGGCGCTGCAGATACACCATTAGGAGCCAAAAAAATGAACAAGTCAAAATACCCGAATTAATTTCAGATTCTGACAAATACCCTGAATAAAATAAAACATGCTTCTAGTCGTTGCCCCCAGTTACTAAGTTGTGGGAGTCTGGGGCACGGAGGTTGGGAAGAAGAAAAATCAGGCTAAAAGCAAAGGGTGTGGAGGCTAAGTTCCTTCCACAGTGACACTCTACAAATTGGCTGGGAATGACCTAAAGAAGGGAGAGGCTGCAAAGCGGGAAATAATTCTTTCTAGGAAAAGGAAAGAAGCTTCCGCTGCAGGGTGCCCGCTCCCGGGCGCGGAGGCTGAGAAGCTGGCGACAGGGTCGGAGGGGTCCCGGGGCCAGAGCCTCATTACCTTGCCTCGGGTGCAGCCTGTCCTTGCGCACGGCCGCCGGGGCGTCTGGGCTCGCCATCTCGGCCAGGTCCCGCACCAGGAGCGTTAGCAGTGTGGCCCAGGATACAAACTGCATGGTGCTCCTCACCCCTCCCCCGTTACCCCACCTCCTCCCTCCTGCCCTCCTTGGTTGCGGCAGCGACCCGAGGCAGCAGCCGCGTTGAGCGCGCGGAGCCCGGCGCCCGCCGCCAACTTTTGACTTTAGGAGTCGCTGAGGTCCCGCCGCGAGGGTCCCGTCTGCGCTCGGCTGAGCAACGCCGCCGCCTGCCGAGAGCTGAGCCGCTCGGGCCGCAGGAGGAGCCGGAGGAGTAGCACTAGGACTGGGGCTCCGCTGCTCGGCCGCATAATGTCCAGGGACGTGTAGGAGAAAGCGCGGAACGTGCGCTCCGAGGCGCGGCGGGCGCCCTGTGCTGGCGGGGATAGCGGAGCGGCTTCTTGAATGGGGGGCGGAGGCGGGGGGGCCGCGGGTCCTCCGCCGCTCAAATACCCCGGGTGCCCGCCTCTAGGAGAAGAGGGGAGGAGAAAGCGGAGAGTGCGGACCGCCTCCTTCCAGATCGTGTCCTCTGCTAGACCGGCCCGTGAGGGACTCCGGGCCGGCCTCCGGCTTCGAGAGGCGGGGGCCAGAGGCGCCGGAGCGCCCGGGCAGCGGGTCGCGGTCTTGGCCACGTCGTGAAGATGAGCTTTTCTGAGACTCCCTGCCCCCGGGAGGGAGAGCTGAGTGCGGTCTCTCCTTCCTGGCGCTCACAGTCTCTCTCTGGGTCTGTCTCTGGTCTCCTCTCTCCTCTCTGCTCTTTCTCCCTCCAGAATCTCCTTTCTCCTCGCTCGTCCCTAGGCCGCTCTGAATCTGCCTTTCTCCACCCCACCCCCTCCGTGGTCTCCACTCCTTCTCCCACTGCACTCTTTAAACTCTCGTACTCCTCTCTTCCCTTGTCTCTTTCTCTCTCTTAGGTTCCCATCTTTTTGCAACACCTCTTCCTCTTCTCTCCTCCCCGTCTAACCCTTTCTTTTTGGTTTCTTACTAGTGAAAGTGGCCCAGTGCAGGGGGCCTTCCCTTCCTACAGTCTCACTAGGGACAAGATTTGCCATCTAATCGCCCAGATCAGGAGTATTAGTGATGGGGTTCCTAATTTTGCAATTTGGGGTGTGTTTCAAGTCCTTGGTCTCCTGAAAGTTTCGCAAAGCTTTCAAGCTGTGCTTTCCCTAGACTCTGGCCCCATTCTGAGAAGGTCCATAGTTCTCTGTAGGTCCCGACCCAAAAAAGGTTAAGAACCACTCTTGGCAGCCAGAGGGGGCGGGGTTTGGCACTTCTGACTGGAGGGGTTGGGGGTGGGGTTAGAGATATTGGGAACCCGGCGGGAGGGGGGTGGGGAGTGCAAAAGGAGTCATGGCCCCAGAGGGGAAGCACCAGCCCTAAGAGGGATTTCTCAATCACTTACGCTTGCTTTCTATCAGAGATGCTTCCAGGCTCCAAAGGGACACTTCAGCCTACACTTACTTCCGCCCTGGGATGCAAATTTGAAAGTCAGAAAGTGAGCCAAAGAAGGAGGATGCCAGTATGTGAAAATGTGAGCCAGTGTCAATTGCTTAATCCTGCATCCTTCCAAAGCCTTTTCCCTCTACCGGCCCTCAGGAAGATAGGATGTGCTAATTTCAAGAGAAAATAAATGACATTTTTTTTTTTTTTTTGTAAAAGATATGACTAATGTGTACGTGCCCCAGTTTCCCAGAACCAGAGTTTTCTGTTGCTTAGTAGGTTGGCAGTCAGGGTTGAAAATACTTAAGACTGCCAATACCAGGGACCAAATATCAAAAGCTAGAAGTGTCCACTATTTTGGACATATGTATACATATATTTCTCCTTGTCGAAAGAAAAATAACTTGGAATAACTAGTATATCCTAGAGAAGTTGCTAACCCAAATGGACTACTGTTGCGGTTGTCCACCTGTATTCTTGGATTTTACAGTGGGTATATGCAATGGTGCATAAAGATGGTAAAATAACAACAGTGGCATAGTACACAAAAGATTTTTAAGGGATGACATTTAAGTATTTTTACTTATTTATTTTTGGTACGTGCCCCTAGTGGAAACCGAACCTGGGACTCTCTGATCCGCAGGCCAACACTCCAACCACTGAGGCAAACCGGCCAGGACCATTTAAGTATTTTTAAACCTTCACAATAATTCACTAAAATATATTTCTTCTAATACATGATCTTTTTTCTCATTGTGTAATAAAATTCCTCATGGTCGTAGCATCTGGGAGTTTCTGAGAGTTTAGCAAGGAACAGAAAAATATCAAGAAATCAAACTACTAGTTGATTCTTAGGGAAAGTATTCTAGAACTTGCACGACATAATTACTAAAATATATAGCACGTTCACAGACACACAGGTGGATAGAGCAGAATAGAGAGCACAGAACTAACCCTGTGAATACACGGTCAGTTTATTTATGACAAAGGAGCCAAAAATGTACAATGGGGAAAGGACAGTCTCTTCAGTAAATGGTGTGAGGAAGACTGGACAGCCACACACATGCAAAAGAATGAAACTGGATCACTTTTCTTACATCATACACAAAAATAAACTCCAAATGGGTTAATGATTTGAACATAAGACCTGAAATCATAAAACTCCTAGAAAAAATAGGGGGTGATCTCCGTGGCATCGGTCTTGGTGATGATACTTTAGGTTTGACACCAAAAGCAAAGGCAACAAAAGCAAAAATAAACAAGTGGGACTACATCAAACTGACAAGCTTCTGCACAGCAAAAGAAATGAGCAACAAAATGAGAAGGCAGCCTATGGATGGAAGAAAATATGTGCAATTCACATATACCAGATAAGGAATTCAAATATTAAAAAAAAACTTATAACTCAGTAGTAAAAATAAACAATCTGATTAAAAAATGGAAAGAGGATCTGAATAAATGTTTTTTCCTCAAAGAAGACCTACAGATGGCCAACAAGTACATGAAAGATGTTCACTAATCACCAGGGAAATGCAAATCAAAACCACAGTGAGATACCACCTCACACCTGTTAGAATGGCTTTTATCAAAAAGATGAAAAATAAGTGTTGGCAAGGATATGGAGAAAAGGGAACCTTTATGCCCTGTTGGTAACAGTATGGAAGTTTTGCAAAAAATTAAAAGAACTACCATATGATCAAGTAATTCTACTTCTGGATATTTATCCAAAGGAAATGAAAACAATAACTCAAAAAGATATCTGCACCCTCATGTTTTTTGCAGCATTATTTAAAATGCCTAAGACAGCTCTGGCTGGTTTGGCACAGCGGTTAGAGCGAGCATCAGCCTTTGGACAGAAGGCTCCCGGATTTGGGTTCGATTCCCAGCCCTTGTTGGGGTCCTGCAAGAGGCAGCTAATGGATGTGTCTATCTCATGTCAATGTTTTTCTCTCTCTCCGTCTCTACCTCCCTCTCTCTCCCTCTCCCTGCTTCCCCTCCACTCTATCTAAAATCAATGGAAAAGTATCTTCAGGTGAAGATTAACAACAACAATAAATAAATAAATAAAATAAAATGCCCAAGACACGGGATAATCTAAGTGTTCTTCAACAGATGAATGGATAAAGAAAATGTGGAATATTATATGAAATATTATTCCATCATCAAAAAGAAGGAAATCTTGCCATCTGTGACAGCATGGGCAGTCCCTTCAGGGCATTACACCAAGTGAAATAAGTCATACAGAGAAAAGGATACCATGCAGTCTTATTTATATGGGATCCAAAACTATTTATTTATTTATTTATTTATTTATTTATTTATTTATTGGCACGTGCCCCTAGCGGGAACCAAACCCAGGACTCTCTGGTCCACAGGCTGATGCTCCAACAGCTGAGCCAAACGGGCCGGGAAACATTTTTTTTTTTTTAAATGAACTCAGATACAGAGAACAGATTGTTTTTTGCATGAGATGGGAGTGGGCAAAATGGGTGAAGGTGGTCAAATGGTATAAATTTCCATAAGATAAATAAGTCCTGGGGATGTAGAGCATGGTTACTACAGCTAATAATACTCTATTGTAGATTTGAAAGTTGCTAAGAGAGTAAATCTTAAAAATTTTCATCACAAGAAATAAAAAAAGTTTGTGATCATTTCACAATATATACATCTATCAAATCATTATGTTCTACATCTGAAACTAATATAATATATGTCAATTATACCTCAATAAAAAATAAAGTTTATAAAGGATTAAAAATAGCACTTTTCAATATTTCCCATTAAACTTTCCCCTATTTTCATTTAAACTACTCCTGATATCGCTTCTCGGCCTTTTGGCTAAGATCAAGTGTAGTATCTGTTCTTATCAGTTTAAACTACTCCTGATAAAGAGAAGCTAATTATTATATGTAGGGAAAGAAGCCTCCTTTGTTTATTCTCTCTGTAAGCTTACTTTCTAGGATTTTGTTTGAAAAGATGAACTTTTGTTTACTGTTGTTTAAAATTGCTCCTGATACAACCAATCATTTCATAAGAGCTGCTCGGGAAGGAAAATACAAAGTAGCTCTTGGTGACTTCCGGAGGTGACCAAGAGGCTGGGTCTCTGAATTTCTCATCCTCAGTCAGTCTATTAATTCTTTCTTAAGTATATTGACTTGCCTCTGCATTTACTTCTGTACACAAGTCTCAAAGAGTCTTAGGAAGATGTTTGAAATCATAAGAAAGGAATAGAAAAATGGAGCTATGTAAAGAATTCAAGGTTAAGATATTTTGTCTGAATAATAATGATTATAATAATCAACTTGTACCTGGTATTTACCTTGTGCCAGACCATGTGCTAATATAAGCGCTAAATTGAATTCTTACGATAGCTCTGTGAGCAGGTGGTATTAGTAATTTCATTTTACAGATAAGGATATCATGGTCCAAAGATGTGAAATAATTTGACAGGAGTCCCCCAACTAGTAAGTGAGAGACATAATTCAACTTCTGTTTCAGCAGTTTAGTTCAAGTTCATAATTATTATTACATACAATGAATAAATGATCAGAAGTGTTGCAGATTTGAGGAGGTTTGGTTTGTAAGAGGGGGGCTAAAATCACCTACAGAATTGCCTCCGTTTCTTTCATATGTATAATTTTTCTTTGGTTCTCTAACTCCTTTTTCTAATGCTGAATACTTCATGGTGGCATCTTAGCTATTTCAGTGGTATTTCACATTTTCTTCAGCACCTAGAACAAGTCTGGCACATAGTAAGTTCTCAATAAATGTTTATTGAATAAGTATAACCCTTCTTCTTTGGTTCAACTGTGATAAAATGACTTCTTTATTACACACACAGACACACACACGAATGTGCAGTCTGGAGGTTGGTCCTATAAAGAGGAATATAGAATTACCTGAGATGGGGGAATGTGGTTGCTGTAATA